GTCATTGCGTGGATGAAGAATAAGCCTTTCCTGAGTCGCAGGGTTTCACAAGCTTATATCATCACGGTCCTACTAGTCCAGCCATACTGGGTGCTAGAAATCTACGCCAATTTCACCTACTTTAATAATATTAATAAAATATTTCTCACGACAAGGCCAATGGAGCCTCTCTTCCGGTAATCTCACCCTCTTCTTGCTTCCGTCCACATCATGCTGACCAAGTTACAGAGACCCCTGGTGGGTCTTCACCACCTGTTCACTCTTCTACACCATTAAACGCTTGTACAACTTTGGCATCATTGAATTGGTGACTGTGAGCCCGCGATTCGGGATCATGCTAGCATCAATGTGCCTTTCCATTGTGTTCATAATCATCGATACCTGTGTCGTTCTGAACGCCTTCCCAGCACATACGCTCCCTACTGGGGTTGAACCATTCTGGAAGGTAAGCTCTCCACTCCGGATAATCCTCCGGTGGGTAGTTGCTAAGTCGCATCTGAACAGCTATCATTCATCTTCAAATGTCTCTGCGATACCGTCATCCTCGACGACTTCAAGACTGCTCTTGATCGAATGCGAAATTACTGGCTACGGAAACGGGCAATGACTGGCGAAGTCCTTCTTCCAGAAACCCAATATGAACACGGCAGTCGCAGACATGAGGGGGATGACATCGAGGCATTTGGCAGCGGGAGACGGGGCAGCGAACTGAGAAAGCCCGATTCGGCGGTTCCGCGAGTTCAGACAAGGGAAGATGTGGGTATAGCTCTTTGATTATGCATATCATATATGTAATCCTGCATTTTGTTTGCTGATGATAATGATTGACTCAATGATATCCACCCATTGTTTCTGTTTGTTTCAAATATACTTTGGTTAGGCGAAATTCTTAGGAGTTTGATGCGCTTGAATTGGTTACTATCCTAGGTAACAAAGGTTCTTCTATTCATGACGTGCCAGAAATATCAAATTAAAAGATCTGCGACGATTGATGTGAAAAATAGACTCTTTATTACTTTAAATAGTAAATGGTTAGCCTTGTAATAGCCTTATGGCAAGATGCGATACAAAGACCACGCGGTAGTCAAGGAAAGTGTTCCTTCAAATCACTACTATTGGAGGGGTCTAGAATCTTTGTATCAACCTTTGTTTGGCTTTTTCATTCTTTTTTGGTTTGATTTATCTTTCTAAACAATTTGGCTCGAAATTTCGACATCTCGTTTCATATTTTCATTTCATGTTTTACCGAACAGGAAGCACTTTCTCAAAGTGTGCTGGTGTTTTAAATACAAACCGCGTGACAGCGCCACCGATTCTTTGTTTGATAGAGAACCCTACGCAGATCATGGAGAGCATTTTTGAACGCCTATCTATAAAAAGAGTTCATATTCTTGGTTAACCCTTTTGATAAAGAATACCCATATAATCAATCGACTTGCTTGCTTTCATCCTATCTTCCAACCTTTGGCCAACAAGATTAAATTCACTTAGTACAAGACGTTTGTGGTCACCATTATCTATATATTGCCACAACGCTTGCTCCATTCGTTCTTAGAATTTCATATAAACAACGAGGTGGCAAATGTTCAAATTGAGGGCTGAAACACATCGACTAATGAAATCTCTAGGGTAAGGAAGAATGATTTTGCAAAAAGTTGCGAGTTGCCTCTTGAGACTATTGGTAATAGTATGATGGACCCTACTAGGCAAACTTTACACGTCATATATCTTTTGGGCATGGCGTAAAGGGGTGTGTTTAGTACAATGAGATCCCTAATGACAGACTAGTCTATTGTCTATAGTCTATGGCGAAGCATAACATGGGGAGGTGGTACTAAGCAGCAAGGATTATGATCTCGAGGATAGATAGATAGGGGTGTCATCCTCTATTGTCCGACAAGCAGATACAAGCATGTGGCCACGTGTATGAATGCTGTGCAAGTCATTAAGCTGCAGAAGGTCATGACTTCACAATGACAACAGTTGTAACTTGAGATATGGGAAAGTACACGGTGTACTCAATGTACTTGTATAATTGGAGGTCGACGAGATACTTTGTCCACGTATCCTAAAAGGAACAGATCCGATGGCCGGGGAACTGAAAAATAGGGCAAGCAAGAATGATTACCTAACGGAGGGTTTAGCCAATGAAATACGGTTCTAGTATGTTCGGTGGATCGCCTGCAGAACATCCATGAACAACTTCGGGGCGATTTCTCCGGCAGAGTCCAAGGCGGTGGCCAGGGCGGATGAGTTATTCTGGTCCCTGAAGGTCGACGCACCAATCACAACGCGAGGAGTAACCTGCAGAGCGATGGCCGTACCAGCCATGCTGTCCTTTTCTCTGGCCTCAAGCATTTTAAAAAAGCTGATCTCTTCCACTCACGTCCTTCGTTCAGCAACTTCTCTCTTTTGCCTCAACCTTCCCTTCAGCCCCCCTTCCATTCCGTCGCCTGTGGTTGGGTTCCCTTTTCTTCCTTTTGCTTCTCTTTCTTGAATACAGGAAACTGTATTGAAGCACAAGGGATTCACTACGAACACGTCTCCTGATAATCACACGCGTGCCCCTTGGCGAAGACCACCGCTCGATATACACATAGGCACAATGGCGCGACTATCGAGTCGCAACGGTGCGGCCAAGCCGTTCACTGCTTGGACCACCATCTTCTACCTTCTTCTTGTTTTCATCGCACCCCTGGCATTCTTCGGTACCGCACACGCTGAGGAGGACTCTGTACAAGACGATGGACCTGTAATTGGTATTGATTTGGGTACTACCTACTCGTACGTTTTACATCTATGAAGCAAGACCGAGGGCGTTACAATGTCTAACTCTTCAACAGTTGTGTTGGTGTGATGCAGAATGGAAAGGTCGAGATCCTCGTCAACGACCAAGGAAACCGTATCACTCCTTCCTACGTCGCCTTCACCGATGAGGAACGCTTGGTCGGTGACGCCGCTAAGAACCAATACGCTGCCAACCCTGTCAGGACCATCTTTGATATCAAGTGAGTTTCTCTGGTTAGTTCGTACTGTGAATTGATGTGCTAATGTCTCGCAGGCGTCTGATTGGTCGCAAGTACGATGATAAGGACGTCACCAAGGACACCAAGAACTTCCCCTTTAAGGTTGTCAACAAGGATGGCAAGCCCGTCGTGAAGGTTGACGTGAACAAGTCCCCCAAGACCTTCACCCCTGAGGAGGTTTCCGCCATGGTCCTTGGAAAGATGAAGGAGATCGCTGAGGGCTACCTCGGACAGTCTGTCACCCAGGCTGTCGTCACCGTCCCCGCCTACTTCAACGACGCCCAGAGACAGGCTACTAAGGACGCTGGTACCATCGCCGGCCTCAACGTTCGCCGTGTTGTCAACGAGCCTACCGCCGCCGCTATCGCCTACGGATTGGACAAGACTGGTGATGAGCGCCAGGTCATCGTCTACGATCTTGGTGGTGGTACCTTCGATGTTTCGCTCCTCTCCATTGACAACGGTGTCTTCGAGGTTTTGGCTACCGCTGGTGACACTCACCTTGGTGGTGAGGACTTTGACCACCGTGTCATGGACTACTTCGTGAAGCAGTACAACAAGAAGAACAACGTTGACATCAGGAAGGACCTCAAGTCCATGGGTAAGCTCAAGCGCGAAGTCGAGAAGGCCAAGCGTACTCTGTCTTCCCAGATGTCTACTCGCATTGAAATCGAGTCTTTCCACAACGGCGAGGACTTCTCTGAGACCCTCACTCGTGCTAAGTTCGAAGAGCTGAACATGGATCTGTTCAAGAAGACCCTCAAGCCCGTTGAGCAGGTGCTCAAGGACGCCAAGGTCAAGAAGTCCGAGGTTGACGACATTGTCCTTGTTGGTGGTTCTACCCGTATTCCCAAGGTCCAGGCTCTTCTCGAGGAGTTCTTCGGTGGCAAGAAGGCCAGCAAGGGTATCAACCCTGATGAGGCTGTTGCTTTCGGTGCTGCCGTCCAGGGTGGTGTCCTTTCTGGTCAGGCTGGTACTGAAGATGTCGTTCTGATGGATGTCAACCCTCTTACCCTCGGTATCGAGACCACCGGCGGTGTCATGACCAAGCTCATCCCCCGTAACACCGTTATCCCCACTCGCAAGTCCCAGATCTTCTCCACCGCCGCTGATAACCAGCCTACCGTTCTTATCCAAGTTTGTAAGTATACTCTCTGGACGAAAATCTTATAGCAACTCACACTAACTGATCCTAGATGAGGGCGAGCGTTCCTTGACCAAGGACAACAACCTCCTCGGCAAGTTCGAGCTTACCAGCATCCCCCCCGCCCCCCGTGGTGTCCCCCAGATTGAGGTCTCCTTCGATTTGGATGCCAACGGTATCCTGAAGGTCAGCGCCAGCGACAAGGGCACTGGCAAGGCTGAGTCCATCACCATCACCAACGACAAGGGCCGTCTTTCCCAGGAGGAGATCGATCGCATGGTCGCTGAGGCCGAGGAGTTCGCTGAAGAGGACAAGGCCATCAAGGGCAAGATCGAGGCCCGCAACTCTCTGGAGAATTATGCCTTCAGCTTGAAGAACCAGGTCAACGACGAGAACGGCTTGGGTGGCCAGATCGATGAGGACGACAAGCAGACCATCCTCGACGCCGTTAAGGAGGTCACAGACTGGCTCGAGGACAACGCTGCCGAAGCCACCACCGAGGACTTCGAGGAGCAGAAGGAGCAGCTGTCCAACGTGGCCTACCCCATCACCAGCAAGCTCTATGGCTCTGCTCCGGCTGATGAGGATGACGAGCCCTCTGGGCATGACGAATTGTAAAATATTTAGAGGGATGTATGGAGTTTTATCTTGCTTTATTGGCTGGTTTGAATCATTTTTTATTAGACCTCAATGCATGAGGTGGCAGAAATAGCATGATACCTTGAATATTATCTGACTAGCTTCAATCACAACATTCTCCATCCCCAGATGTAAATCTGTTACAACTAGTAGAAACCATGGTAGATTTTCCAAATGACAGAACCTCTTGCATTGCCAAAGCTTTCCTAAATGCAGTCTTTGAAGCATCCATAGCGAGTTATCAAGCAGCTTGGCCCTGACCCACCGTATAGCAGAAGATACAATAGTTGAATGGAACAAAAACAACATACATAGTAGCGCTAATCAGAATTATAGACCATAGTTCTCTATGCTAGAATGACTGGAAGCCTCCAATTAGGGCGAAGACGTGTTTAACTTGAACGACATTCAGATTCCTTATTAATTCGATGTACACGGTCTTTAACGTCGTGACAGCACTCGTTCCCTGATAATAATTAATACTGTAACCGTCATATCATACATCTCACTAATTTTGCGTCAAGGGCGTGTATGTTATGCAATCCAATACCACAACTATTAAGCTAAGAATTCGTGAATTCTGACATCCTTGGTACAAACACTATATGCACTGAGTGGCCGATACACCAACTATACAACTAGACCGTCACTGTCCGCCCTGCTGGATAAACTCCCGAATCGTCTCCAAAACAACCTGATGGTCATCCTCCTGCTTCAATCCACTAACAACCACCACGCCAATAACACCATCCACTCCCTTCACCCGCACGGGGAACGCCCCGCCATGGATCGCGAAGTCATCCGCCGCCCCTCCACCACCGGTACTCGTCAAGGCATGTTTCCTCACAAAAGCCGCCTCCACTTGATCTGCCCCCAAACCAGTGCTCGTCAGCATCTTATTCCGCATCAGCCAGCTCGACACTCCCCATCGAAGCACCGTGTTGCGCTTCCGTCGCACCCACACCTCGTTATCAGCGAAGGTCCCCGGTTCCGTCGCGGCTTGGAATACAACATGTGGCTCGGACCCGCCGGTTAGCGCGATGGAGATGAGAGCTGGCTTGCGCTGATCCGCTGGGAGAGAGAGGATTCGGGATCGGAGCGCAAGACCGAGCGACCAGGCTGTTGTGGAGGTGAAGGAGGGGAAGATTACGGCGGCGGAGGATTCTTGGGCTGTGAGTTCGCGGAGCTGCAAATTTTGGGTTAGTATGTGTTTGTGCAGTGAACTTTGTACAGAGGGAGGCGTGGTGGGGAATTGAGGGGAAGTTACATCTTTGCTCGCGGGTGCAAGAGGTTTGTCTTCCATTTTGGTGGTGGAATTTGTTCAATTGGAAATCTGGTAGTATGTATTTGGGATTTGTACTTCAGCGATTGACAAATTTTGCAGGACTGTTATATTTTATAGTTATTCAGGGTGGATATGTCATGGGTCACCGATTTAGATCTCATGACGTCGGTTCCGTAGGAGATTTAGACGTTGTGCTGGATGGACCTTCCCAATGGTTGGGTGGATTCGGTACTAGACTGCTTCTGGTTAGCGGTCAGGCTATGTCTGTTTCTGGATTGGGTTGTCTAGGATAAAATAGTCTTGAGATTGGGATCCTTTGCGGGAAGTTAATTTGCAGAATGCTTGCGATACTTCGGGATATTGACTCGGAGGCATACATTAAAGCAACACGTCTGGGTAGAAGCTGCAGTGACGGCTTTTACATATTTGACTGTCCTTCCCAATTCTAGCTGACAAGTCTCCAGGAGGCAATGTGCCCACTCTTGTTTCTGGGCCGTCACTTGGCTCGGCCAGATGAGGAATAGTCTTTCGAGACCTCCAGTCTTCCGATGAAGGGTCCACGGACAACCGTCGACTTACATGCCGAGTTGGTCGGTATCAATGGATAAAGACGTCGCAAGCCGAAATTAAGAACTAAGACATCGGTATGAGTCCTAATTGATCAAGACGGGCCGATACTCTGCCGTGGATCCGTACCTTCCGGCGGAAGGAAGAACAATACCGTTTCTGTAGCCCTCCACTCCGCCGGCACTATAATTCGACTGCTTCCTCGTCCGGCATATGAGTCCGCAGTCCCACAACGCCCGAATAGGGCGGCCGCGGAAGGCTTGCGATTCATGTTATTCGCGTAAGGTGAGCAAGCGCTATCGGTGCCAGTAACAGTTCACTCAAAGGGAGCATGGAGGTGCTGATTTGACCGTAGATTAAATGCGTTGAGAAGAGCAACGCCGCCAAATGCGATTGGTGTCTACATCAAGAGTTAGAATGCACGTATACAGGTAAAGATGGTCGACGAAAGCGAAGGGCAGACGATTCATCTGAGTAGAACAACCCCTCATACTACCCTACAATATTGATGCCTCCAACGCGTCTAATATCATGTTGGTAGTTCTGAATACGCGCATAAATATGCGCATAAACACGCGCATGCTAAGATCCCCGACGAATACGTTTCAGTATTCAATAGTGGCCGTCGACCAGAGATGAGTGAGTAGTAATTAAGCTCCTAGATGTCGTTTATAGCAGCGGCTAATGCTATGAACAGATAAGAGCACCTCTGTTGGCGGTTATGCGAGCCACCACCTTCCTCAGGATCAATTTGTTGAAGGTAATGAGGTCGGTCAATATAACGGGAGTTTGAACACTCAAGACAATAATAGCGCATTCTTCCGATATTATGGGATCCCCGTTTTCTCCCCAATGGGGCAGAAGTGGATTCAGTCTCATGGGACTTCTAATATTCTTAAGACACTTCTGTCATATGGCCTCCCATGGGCAAGTTCTCACAGTCACTTAATCTCAGAGCAGGGAGCAGGCCTCGAATCAGGTGGAACTCTTGTCGAGTTACCCGACAGGTTTGTCACTGAAGCATGCATAGCCTTCTGCAAGTGTGGTAAAGTTGGCCTAATCTACCCTATAGTCGATATGTCCCTCTTGGAGGACTCAGTGAAGGCCGCCTACTCTCCCTCAAGTGAAGAAAATCCCCAGGCTCTTTCCATTGCTAAGGCTCTTGTGCTTTCCTTCGTTGCCTTTTGCACCGCTGCAGATCGCAGGGAACATATGTTATATCCAGTTGATGGCAAACAATGTGCCTTCGAGGCTGAAAGCCTGCTCTCAACTGTTCATGATCCGGCCCATAGTATGGGTAAGCTACAAATCCTTTTGCTACTTGTAAGTGTGCCCGGCCAATGTGCCCTCCTTAAGCATCTGCCTGGAACATCATTATCAACCTACAATATTCTCGATACATGAGCTAATCATCGAGAAGCTTCTATTTCACTTCTCGCAGGGAAGATTAGAGCTTGCAAGGGAGCTAATGAGCTCTGTCGCTCGCTTAGCGAACGATTTATCTTCAATCACGAGGCTCTCTGAACCTCCTTCGAGTCCAGAAGGAACGGTGGCACCATATTGTACTGGTGACAAAGAATTTACCTTTCGAACACTCTATTGGAACAGCTTCATGCTCGATAAGGAATTGGCCTTTCGAACAGGTACACCGGTTCTTATGCTTGCCGAGTCTCTAATACCCGCTTCACTAGACGCAACGGAATCTCCGATTGACTATCTTTCGAGGCTGTTACCTACACGCGATCCTCAGAATCACCGTACGGAGTCTTCCCTATCCCATTTAAAGCTCAGCTTGGTCATGTCAAGGGTATACTCGGAGCTCTATGGGCCACATTCTCTCAAGAAACCTGACACCGAAATACTGAGAACTATCCGCACTCTCGACGATGAGCTGGAAGAATGGCGACTGTCAATACCTAAAGCCTGCCGACCTACCCTTCACATTTCCGATCTCCCCACACAATCAACTACAGATGTCGAACTTCTTTTGATCAACCTTAGATATCACCACAGCCTAGGGTGCATACACCAAGCTGTAAGTCGATGCCGACCATGCGGTTCTATGACGGAGGCTCTTCGATCAAGCCTTAATCTATCAGTTCGAGCGAGTGTCTCGTCACTGGAAATCCTGCGTGCCACACGCTTCACCCTAAATAGAGAACTTTTCTGGTACGTAGCCGCGAAACCTTAATCCGTTCTAGAATGCAAAATCTAACATCCCATCAGGTTCATCTGTTTCTATCTCCTTTCGGCAATCTTGAATCTATTATGCAAGATCATAACCGAACCTTTTGATTTCGATAATCCGGAATGTATGAGGATCCTCAAAGATACCCCCATGATCCTCCGTGAAATGGGTATTGTTCAATTGACTTCCACCGAAAGACAGCACTTGGATCTTATGATCCTTCTTAGTTCGGAGCTTAGTGCGTTGGTGGAGGGAAGCAGTGTTCGAAATAGTACATAGGACGATATTGTTTTCCCTGTAATATCTCTGTGATCTTGTACCTAGGGATATATATACCTTCGGGTTTGGATTTGAACCTGCGAAATGGTGGTTTTTGTTTACATAGTAGATCTAGTTGCTATATCGCCCTGACTCTCGACAGACAAGATATCTTGACTCAGCGGTATATTTCTCCATAACTCAGTTAGGGATGTATATAGACGGAGAAATTGCAGCTTTCAATTTATACCCATCGTGGCCAATAAGTAGGCATGGTGTGGCTACGACTGAACAAAGATACCATTGCATTGTGTGCGCGCGCCTCGTGTGTCCTTACAGACTGTCCGGATATTAGGAATAGCGGCTATAAATGCACAACTTGAACTTATTTGGTCACTGGATCAGATGATCAATTTCACAGTATACCTACTTGGCTATTTCTGCAATAGCATTAATAATCCACACCCACAGCGGTCGGCATTCAATATAGGTCGCACGCAGAACATTCTACATAAGCCCTAAATCCCATAGTCGACGGTCTAGATGCATGCACAAGTCCAGTGACCGGCAATCGATTAAAATTTCCCCTCACTCCAAACACTCTCCGCATACACTTGCCCTACATCGTCCCCCATCTAGTTCTCCACTACAACCATACCGACTTACGACTACATACTCCGCAATCCATGCGCCCGAAACTCACCAAGCGAGCTTGCGACGAATGCATTACCCGCAAAGTTAAATGCAGCGGCGCCTGGCCCTGCGACACATGCCGCAGCGCCCCAAAACAGGTGAAATGTACATACCTCAAACCGGCGCGTAGAAGAGGCCCCAAAGTTAGACGTCACACGGGCAAAATCGATTCTGTGAGCTCTGTTTCGGAGACGGATGCTTCCGCTTCGTTGAATGGGGGTGCTTCGAACGATAGTCACGATGGTCATAAGACGATTTCTCGGTCAGTTCTCGAAAGGGTGGTGCGTTGGTACCAGCATTCATCGTACAGTGTTTGGCCGGTGATTGATGCAGAGGTTCTTGTGTGGCGACTCGCAGGCGATGGGGACCATGACACTAATATTTATTGCCTTGTTACGGCGCTTTGCGCGGCGACGATGGCGCAATTGCAGCTTCCGCCGTTGATAGATGAAGGACAGGTTGTCGACTGTGCGGTAATGGCGAGTGAGTGCATAAGGTTGCGTGAGAAGAGCAATTATAGAGAAAGTTTGGATATGAAGAGTATCCTTGTTTCGTTTTTCCTGCATGTGTATCATGCGAAGATCAATAAGCGGAATTCAGCAATGATGTTCATACAGGAGGCTATCTCTGGAGCGAGACTTTTGAAGTTAGATGAGTGGGATTGTGACACGAGGGCCAATGATGATAAGGTCATTGCGAATGAGGAGATTTTGTTTACTCTTCTTTGGGTTTCCGAGAGGTAACGTCACCTTTGTGTTTAGGTACGCGGGTAAAGTGGATGTTGATCTTCTTAGGGGCTATGCAATGCATCTTGGGCTCTTACCATCGTATACGAGTCCGATTCGCTTACCAGAAAGAATATATTTAGCAGGCAATGAGTATGCTCAAGGCTTGCTGGAGCTAGCTAAGCTCTTCGCGGCTTTTGATAGCATCTCTCTCAAGCGGAGTACCAGCGCTTCGAACCCTGATGCCATCTCGGCCGATTGCCTTACAGAGACGGAAGCGGCGTTGTCCATGCTTTCGCTAGGAGAGGATGGCAGGGCAACTGTCCGAATGGCGGACTATTGCATTACCAAGGAATGGATGAGGACGATCATATGGCAGGAAGCATTGTCTCGACAGATGTTATCCTCCAAAGCGTACGCTAAGCTTCTTACATTCAAGTTCCCAGCCTGTGTGAGTCGGGACCTCTTGCATTCATTACAGGGCTTCTCCGAGTCTGATTTGTTGCCTCTGGGTCGTGATCAGGTATGTTAGCCTCTTTCTCTTCCGACGGTGGTGTTAACACGGCTGCAGTTATTGAAGTGTTTTGAAGTCACAAACTCACTTGCCGATGTTGTTTTGTATACGCCCTCAGTTTCATCATATGATCTTCGATTAGGGCCTCAGGACTTTCTGCATGCTTTGTACCAAAAGCTTCTCCCATTTTTAGAGCAAGATGCTATGCTTAAGTCTATCTTGCATGCGAAGACGGCCGAAGCTTTGGTGACCGCACCTGCTCGGTTGTTAAGATTCTATGATGGACAAACAGCGGATGACGAGAGCACTATGAATGATTATATGGACCTCTCCGTATATGATGCGTATGAGTTCAATTCACAGGACCTCAACGAGAGTTCATGACTAGTCATACACAAAGAATGCTCTCGGTGTGAATGATGATGGCTATTACTCCGATACCTGTAGCACGATCCTTCCTGCAATATCACCCTTCTCCATATCTTCATATACCTGAGGCAGCTCTCTAAAATTTCGGACTTTAATCTCTGGTTTTACCACGCCACGGCGAACCAAATCGACAGCCTCCATACATTCCTTCAATGAGCCTACAAGATTTCCGGTAATCCTAAGCCCCTTGATCACGATGGTGCAGATCGGCGTCTCCAACACCGGTCGGCCTGGAGGAATGCCAACACAGCTCAGCGTTCCGCCGACACGTAGCATTTCGCAGGCGTGAGCAAAGGCCTTCGCGCTTCCGGCTGTAACTACGACTGCGTGCGCCCCAAGCCCAGTGATTTCATGGACGCGCTGAACAGGGTCAGTCGAGGTAAAGTCAATAAATTCAGTGGCTCCAAGGCGAAGGACAAAGTCACGTTTGTCCGTGGCATCAACACCAATGACCAATGCTCCTTGGGCTTTTGCATATTGAACTGTTCAAGTCAGCATCATATAAGTGGATATAGCTCCAATTGCGACGACTCACCAGCCAAATGTCCAAGGCCGCCTCCAGCCCCAACAACGACCAGCCAGTGCCCCGCCCTAATGTTAGCATTTAGCACCGCCTACGTAGGGTATCAGTATTTATAGCGGTAGTGACAAGGACATAGCAGAACGACTGACTTTATAAGCTGTAACACCGGCACACAAAACCGGCCCAATGACCACTGGGTCAATATCGTCCGGCAAGATCGTCAAGTAATCCGCATCAAGTGCAATAAACTCCTGGAAGCTACCATCCTCATGGTGCAAATGATTTGTGCTCTTCACACAATACTGCTCCGTCCCGGCGAGACAGAACTCGCAGCGCCGACAGATCCGACTCGAGAATCGGATTCCCACAAGGCCTCCGACCTTCAAATCAGAACCACACCTGGGCCCGAGGGCCACAATCCGGCCCACTCCTTCATGGCCACCGACATGGGGTAGTTTTATCTTGGTTATGGGGTCACCAGATGGACCAGCTGCAGTGCCGTTCTTTGTATGGAGGTCTAATATCAGCAGATTAGCATATGTGCATCAGTTTCACGTCATGTGTGTCGCGTATTCCATAATAGCAATGGAATATATATATGAACTCACCACTTTGACAAACACCAGTATACAACACCTTCGCCAGGACTTCATTCTCTCCAGGTGTAGGAACTGGATATCCCTCACGAAACTCAACGCTTCCACCCAGCTCCGAAACCAGAGCTACAGTCTGAGTGGAGGGGATAGGATCAGAAGTTGGTTGAAGCGCACCCATGATGGATATAGATATTGTTCTCTAAATTGTTTCTTCAACCACTCAATGGAGGACGAGAGTGGAAAGCCACGGTAATAAATAAGTTCTCTGGGTTCCCAATGTTGAACCATGTTTGTTTTCGTACGCGAATACTGGATGGATGATCATACGTCTCACTCCGTCCTGCTATAGGATGGAGCTTGCGGGATGGTTGGTAATTCTCCAATTGGTTGTTGCTTTTGCTATGGGACGTGGCAAAGCTTCAACTCAGGAAGGTCAAATTCCCTGTAATGGCCAATACTATAGTTTTGAAAATTACTCGTAGGACGCTGACTGGAAAGTTCTCTGTTCTAGACAACGTGGCAGAATTGAAAATATTCCTTGTTCTATTTTCATTATTTCCTAATTAATCGTAGTATAATTAAAAGAATAGTCTCCTTTTTCTACTATTCAAAATTTTAGTTTTTATTATAACGTAGTTTAATGTTGAACTAATGATGCTGATGAGCTTAAGATAAGGAAGGACGAAGCAGAGGGCTATATTAATCGAGCTAAAAGATCTTCAACCCTCCCAAGGCATAGAGGATGGGGGGTTTCCATCCAATCTACGACGCAATGGAAATAACAAGAGAAGCAAAAGTTAGACGGATGAAGTCGAAGGCTAGGTATATCTGAAAGCATATGGACTTTATTGGAACGAGTGACGACTTTCAGCACGAAGAAACGAAGCTCAAAGCTTGTACAAGGCATCAACCCTTTGCCTACTGCTACATCCCCTTGGTTTCCCAGGTACACAGATCAGCCGTCCCGAAGACTAGCAACCCAAATGTTATTCGTACAAGTTACATGGACTCTGGAGAACAGAAGTATGGATAGGAGTTCTATCTTTTCCACCTATTCAAACCAACAGGATATTCACCATGTCAACTTCGTAGAATGGATCTTCCATTCCATCTTTGCCACTCAGTTCACTGACACCCAAGTCTCCAAAATCCATATGGGCCTCGAGAAGGGTCAAGGCAAGCCCGGGAAAGTCCATTTCGATGAGGTACCTTTTCTTGGAGATGCCCAAGAACTTGGGCGGCCTCTACTGGCTCGATAACCAAAACAAGGTGGTACCAAAGCTTGGAATTATGACCTATTCGAAATTGCATGACAGAAACCTCTAAGTACTACAAGGGAATATGGCCGGGTAGATCGATATCAAAGTCAAATTCGCCATAGAGACGGTTTTAATGAGAGTGATGATGATGGCGCAGCATTTCACCACTAAAAGTATGATTCTGAAGGGTGGAAGGTGACTCCTTAAATATCCGGGCCTGAAGACTTAAGAGTTCCTTTAAGGATGTCCGATACTAGTTCCTCACCGCTCCAGATGATTTCGGGCATGGCCTTCATATCTGCTTTTGGCTCAAACTGAGCCTCATCGCCGTAAATATATCTTAGCCATTTAACAATGATCCCACTTCCACGGGGGTTTCGAGCGAAGCCCAGGACCATGTGGGAATGCCCTGTATTTTCGGACAAGTTGCTGGCTGGAGGGTATTCCAGGGAACGCCCAAGTGGATATCTTCCATCCATAAACCTGCGGCGGGCATGCACTTCATTTAATAAGATTGTTATATAACTTAGTCATGAGTCAGAATACTGTACACTACTAACTACTATGTTATATACCCTATGTGAACTTGGAAGAAGTCCACTGCTTAACGAGGTATATCCAAGCCTTCCAAGAGACACTCTATCTCAATCCTTAGGGCTACAAAACCCAACCGAAGAAAACCACAAAATGAAAATTACTCCCAATACAAGCCTACAAAACTTCCACCTCCATTTCCCAAAAAGCCAATTTCAAAATCCCATGTAATTCATACACGGCCGACACTATCCTAGAAACGAATAGAATTATATTTACATCCGCATATTTCTCCGAATGCAACCCCAGCCAGGCAAATTGTAGAAAGTCCCAGGCGAAATAGAAACATGAGTAATAGAACTGGGTGGGAAAGTAACTTCTAACACTGTATCTTCTTGTCTTCCCCCTCATTTTTAACTCGTCTACTCCACCTTTTGTCCGGGGTTCGTAGTATGCTATTTCTCCGAGGTATTTCTCCGGGGAGGGTCTTTGGATTGTGGGACAGATATGGGCAGAAAACTGGCCCCGGGAAAGGTACTGGTTCTTATGTGATGGGTGATTTGTTTGGGGCCATTTAGGGGTGCAAAGGTACATATATCAAGAGGTTATCTCAGAAGCCATGTTGTCATTGTAGCCCTAGGGTCGGTCCCGCGGGGCTCGGTATTTTGAGATTTTGTTTTCCAATTGGAGCTCTTACTTTTGTACTTCCTTTCTCATTGTCTGGTCTATCTTGATGTTTGAATGCTTTCTAAGTCTCTGAAGCATGTGATAAAGATACAAAACCCTTGCAGTCTTCATTTTTCTTAAGTATGTATATCTATATAGACCTTTGACCAAGTAAATACATTCCTCCTTGAAGGCGGAACAAAAGCTGCTCAAGAATTACTCATTCTAACAACCCAGCTGCAATGGTATCACCTCCAGCCCGAAGAACAATCCTCGTCGGCGCCTCTAAAGGCACTGCATGATCCATTTCCACAACGATTCGTGCCACTGAGCCAGGTCCAACGATCTTTGGCTTCTTCTTGATGGCAGCGCCAGAGCCTTTATCCAATGTTGCGACGAGTCGACTAATCCGTCCAGGCATGTGAAGGCGTCCCCGATGAACATCAACCATGCTGGGCATCAGATGCTCAAATGCCAGCACCTTAGCTGTGAATGATGTGATATTGGCAATAGGCGCAGAGGCACGACAGATCACGTCGCCAGAACGCAGGTGAATGGGGTCAATGTTTGCAAGGTTGAGGACCACGTTTTGGCCCGCTACAGCCCAGTCGCTCGGTTCACTGTCCACTTCCAAGCTTCGAACCAATGCCGTTTCGCCGCTAGGCATAGTGAGAATTTGGTCGCCCACTTGCAAGCTGCCAGCGTCGATTCGACCAGAGATCGAAAGGGGGTTTTGCACACTTCCACGGAAGACATCACCAATGGTCATTCGCAATGGCTTGTCGAGGGCATGAGAGTAAGGCTCGGTAGCTTCAAGCTCCTCAATTAGGGTGCGACCTGTATACCATGATACGTTTGGATCCTCGCTTCGCTTTGTGACATTGTCACCACTGATGCCTGAGCATGGCACAAATGCGATGTTTTTGGCTTGGAATCCCGCAGTGGTCAAGAAAGCTGAAACCTGCTGCTCGATCTCGTCATAGCGATCCTTGTTCCACTGCACTGAGTCCA